GTGGGGACCTCAACTATCGCCTGGATTAAAGACTACCTGACAAACAGACCACAGTTTGTGAGGCTGAAGAACTGCACATCAAACCAGGCGATCTGTAACATTGGAGCACCACAGGGGACTGTACTCTCACCATTTCTTTTCACCCTGTACACCTCAGACTTCTAGTACAAATCAGAGACCTGTCATCTACAGAAATACTCAGATGACTCTGCAGTTGTCGCGTGTATCAGAGATGGACAGGAAGCTGAGTACAGAGAGCTAGTGGAGCGCTTTGTGGCATGGTGTGGAAACAATCATCTGACCTTGAACGTGAACAAAACAAAGGAGATGATTTTAGACTTCAGAAGAAACAGGGTGGAGTCAAACACTGTTTCCATCATGGGAGAAGAAGTGGAGGAGGTTGAGGAATACAAATACCTTGGAGTTCACCTGGACAACAGACTGGACTGGAGAAAGAACAGCGAAGCCGTTTACAAGAAGGGACACAGCAGACTGCACTTCTTGAGGACGCTTAGGCCCTTCAATGTCTGTAGCAAGATGCTGCACATCTTCTACAAGTCTGTTGTTGAAAGTGTAATCTCTTCAGCCATCGTCTGTTGGGGTAGTAGCATAAGAAGCAGGGACCTGAAAAGGCTCAACAGCCTAATAAAAAAGGCTGGTTCTGTTCTGAGGACGACTGTGGAACCACTGGAGGAGATAATGCAAAGAAGGATTCTCCAGAGAATCAAGAAAATTATGGACAACCCTGAGCATTCTCTTCACAAGACTGTCCGACAACAGAAGAGTGTCTTCAGTCAGAGGCTTCTTCAGTTTTGCTGCAACACTGACCGCTACTGGAGATCCTTCCTGCCAACAGCCATTGTAATATACAATAACTCTTTGATGACTTGATTATTATTATTATTCTGAGCTACTACAGCAATCAATTTCCCTCTGGGATTAATAAAGTATTTTTGAATTGAATTGAATTGAATTGAATTGAATTGAATTGAATTGAATTGAATGGGATAACTGGTCAACATCATCATCTTCATCATCCATCACAATATACACTCAAACACTATCATCAACATCTGATAATGATTATAACAATTATAGTAAATAATGATCAGTAGTGGTTGCTTGAAAGGCAGTGGGAAGAAGAAAATGTATTTAATCCCTTCCCCATTTATTCCTGAGTGATAACAACAATAATCACCTATTTCACTCAATATAAATAAGCAATTGACTATGACGATGCAACAATCCCAGTAACAATTTAGGTTTGTTTTATTTGTAGCTGTATCCAAAACCTCAGTGATGTGAGTGATCTTTGTTTAAATAAAACTTTTGTTTTCTTGTTAAACTCCTGGAGTTCATCGTTTTATGTCCTTCTACTTTCTGTGTCATCCCCTCTTGAGTTCCTAAACAGGAGGGGTCATAACAGAGTATCTCATTCATTTCTTCTGTGTGATGTTTCTTTGTGCGGCTGAGTGGCTCACGCTCACACTCAATTGTGTAACGTTATGAAGTTCATAATTTTCAGCTCCTAGCAGCTGCCCCTGTACACAGTAACACCCGTGTAGAAAACGCCAAGGTCGGGTGTTCCTCAGACTGTTTACATTCCAGGAGAAGAGCCAGAAGGAGAAGAAGAACGCTTTTACTCAATCAAAGTACTTTATTTGTGATTAAAATTTAAGCAAAACATATGTTGATCAATAATAATCAAGTGAATGATCTGTGAAATAAAAATGTCATGATTTATGTGTTTAATGAGTAAACAGGACGACATGCACAGACAGACTGACACTCATCCCCATGGCAACGCATGACACATTGCTCCAACCAATCAGAGCCTTCGGCTGCCGCAAGAGAATCTGGCTTGTTGACTTAAAGTGTCCAATCCGCTTTACTAAAACTTATCAACAATTCAGAGATATAAAACAAGGCAACGCCATTTTAAGCTCAGTTCCATTTTGACTTCAGTTCTATTCACCGTCATCCCAAAGAGAAGCACAGCCTGGCCAGATGTGTTTTCTTCTTTAAACTAAGAACTGTGAAGTTGGAGATTTTCGTCGTTTAACAACCAGACGACATCCTTTCAAAATAAGAGCACCTGCTGACACTGCCGATTGTTACCTGGGTCGACCCTTCAGACGGGCTTTGAAACGCTGCGACCGCTGTTTCGACCAGCTCCAGCGCACATCCGAGGTCTTCAGACCTGGCATTTCCTGATCTACCTGGGAGGCCCCCACTGGGTACGTACACGGCAAAATAGCAGCTCATGTCATCACTTTATAAGCCTCGTGATATCTAGTCATAACAATCAAAGACTACCAGATTCAATGACGTCAGCCTAAGGAGTCTGAACCAACCACACACACACACACCCACACACACACACATCGAACATCACATTCATTTCCAAACAACACAGTTAGTCCTGATAGATTGTAGAATTTATAATAAAATTCTTAAACGATCCCAACTCTCTCTTTTCTTGTCTCAAGGTCAATACAGAGTGTTAAATGAACTCCCTGATGATAAAAACAACCTATTCTTCTGATTATAAAAACTAGATCTACTTACAGTATATTAAAATACAACTCTAGATCGTTACATCACTCTATTTCACTACAATTGGTTTATCACGTCTGGAGGTTTGTAGCTGACCAAACCGAGGTCCTACTGTAACAGCCCATGTCTGTAACCTGGTGCCTATCGGCTTTGGTTGAACTTGATACATTATTTATATGTGTGAAATACAGTTCGGAGGTCATTGTCTTTGTTTTTGTTGCTGATTTCTGTGACCTAAGAGAAAGGCCACATCACGTTGAGTATTGTTTTATTGATCGTTTTTTTCTGCCTGACCTATAAGAGGTGAATTAGGAGACACGCCCCTCCCGAGAGTGGTACTCCCACACCTGTCTGGAGGACGCTGGAAGCAGGAGGGAGTGAGTTCGATCGGACGCTGCCAAGCGGTGTTATGGACTAAGGATTATCGCACCAACGACCAGGGAGAGGCTAGCGGACTTATGTGACTTCTCTGGTTCTGGTGAACCGCTGAAGCAGCGGCCTGTCGGGTCCTCAGCAGTACCGTGAGTAAACAGCTGATCGACTCAGCGTTTGCTGCAGCGGCTGTATACAGAATATACAACGATAATCCTAGTTTTTTTATTTTTATTTTTTTGCCGAGTGGATTATGGACGTACATTTTTCTTTTAGAATGTATCTGAACGGAACTGAATTTATCTGAACAGAACTGAATTCATCTGAACGGAACTGAATGTATCTGAACGGAACTGAATTTATCTGAACGGAACTGAATGTATCTGAACGGAACTGAATGTATCTGAACGGAACTGAATGTATCTGAACGGAACTGAATGTATCTGAACGGAACTGAATGTATTGAACTGAACTGAATTCATCTGAACTGAACTCTCAGACCTTTCCATTAATTATTATATATGTTGTTGCAAAAGATCTGATTTAATACACACCCGCTTTTGCCTTATGCTTATGTAATTATTTGGGTTTGTTTGTTTCAGTCCAGGTCAGGGTGATAATAAGCACTTCAAATTGTTTACATCCTTTCTGTTGTGAAGTCGGTGAGTGTTACAAGGGAAAGTTGTTGATAATTGTATTTATTTTTTATATGTCAGGAGAGAGACCTGGCTGGCACCCCGATTAGATCCCTTAGTTATACCTGCTTCCATCACACTACATGATGCTTGTGTTACAAATATGCTGTTTTAATCCCAATCTGTGCTGCAGAAATACGAGCAGACCAGTGATGAGCGGTCTTGGACTTTATTACCCAACCACCATCATGAATGCTGACATCCTAGCCTTCTGTCAGAAGAAAGTCTGGTGCAAACTGGCTTTCTACTTCCTGTCATTCTTCTACTATCTTTATGGGTACATCTTATTATTTACTGCAGATGATTTTATTATTTGGTTTGTTTCATTTCACAATAAAAAAATATGGAAAAACAATAATATCACGATTTTGGTTTGGCTAAATCACGATCATGACTTTTTCCTATTTTGACAATTCAGACGTTTTGGAAGTTATTTACCAGTAAAATGCATACATTTAAAATCATACCCCTTCACTGAAAATAGGTTAAAAGATTTCAGAATCCTAAAAAAATGTTCTCTCTAGAGGTGGCTCATATCCTATCATCCAGTGTTACCAGTAATTATTCCTTGTCCGGAGGAAAAAAATCTATCATGTTAAGCTAAATTCATGATGCATCTTCATCTCATGCCATCACTGGTCGGAATAACACTCCCTATTACGCCGCTCTATTTATCCCTCACTGCGCTCCATAGATGTCTCTGTGACGTGTGACACAGTCAAAATGGTGGTGGTGGGAACCATTTGGAAACAAAAACTTAGAATCCGAGGCTATGGACGTGATTTGTTCAATATATATGTCGATGGTGACCAAAAGAAGGAGATTGCGGATACAAGCGGCCAAATGAGTTTTCTCTGTGGGGTAGCTGGGTTCTCCCTTAGAGATACGGTGAGAAGTTCAGTCATCCATCAGGGGCTCGGAGTAGACCGGCTGTTCCTCCATGTCGAGATGAGCCAGTGGAATTTGCTCGGGCTCCTGGACCCCTGGTAAGGTTTTCCAGGCACATCCATCTGGGAGAAGGCCTAAAAGAAGACCCAGGATACTCTGGAGTGATTATGTCTCTCGGCTGGCCAGGGAACGCCTTTGGATTCCCCCAGAGGAGCTGGCCCAAGTGGCTGGGCCCCTCTGCTTAGGCTGCTACTCCCACGACCCAACTGCAAATAATCGATCAAAAATGGATGGATGGATGAAATATATTTTATGTTATCGTCTCAGGTTCAGCTTTTGTAACTGATTTAATGTTTTTATCAAGGATGCCTGAGATCTGAACAGTTTCAGCAACTTGTACATCTAAAGAGATGTTTCAGAATTTTTCTGTGATAAATGTCTTCCTTTGTTTCTGCAAGTGTCAAATGAAAGCAACACTGACAAACAGAGGTCAGTTGAAAGTTTATTCAGCTTGTTGCTTGCTCTTACAGTTGCGATAAGCGTAGTGGTGCAAACTTGGTATTACGTTTACGGACGTTAATTACCTTAGAGTTCTACAGTCAGCAGAGAAATGAGGTGCTCCTGCATTTTAGTTTCTGTTTTATTTCTTCCCTGCGATGGACTGGCTCTCTGTCAGGGTGTACCCCGCCTGACTGCCCATTGACCGCTGGAGATAGGCACCAGCGCCCCCCCCCCCCCCCCCGTGACCCTACATGGACAAGCGGGTTCAGAAAATGGATGGATGGTTTTATTTCTTAGCTTCAAATTAACCCACAGAACAAAAATAGTCTGGTACACAGTGGCTGAAGAAACACTGAATATTTCTCAGGAGAGACCAGAAAAACAAACATTCCTCCACGGTATGAGCAAATCTACGAGATACTGCAGGAAGAAAAAGAGTTTTATTGTTGGTTTGATAAAGCCAATTATCCATAATGGAAAAGCAGATAGAAATATTTACTGTTTTATATTTTGCACAGTTAGATCCAAATGAAATAGAAACATAAAAAGATGGTTACTGGTTTACTCAGTTACTACTTTGGAGCTATAGGGTGCAGAACACTGACTAACTGGTTGTAGAGCTCTGAGTGATGCAGATCCAACCCAAGCATTGAGAGTTAGCAGGAGTTATTTCTCCTCCTTCACAAACAGTTGGCCGGTTGTTTGTGCAGAGAGGTTTGGGTTAAGTCCCACGGCCAGCTCCGATGCTTGGTCCTGAGCCTGAATCACAGAGGAAGTCAAATGAATCAGCCTGTAACTAATGCAATGCAGCCACTCTGTTTGTCGTCTTCTTGATGCGTGGTGTCAGAACGTGTGTAGAAGAAGGGGGACTTCTTGTGGACCTCTTGTTCAGTACAAGGGCGCAGCCATCTTGGGAGGGAAGAGATTTTCATTTGCTTTTTTTGTTGTTTGTTTTTGAGGATTATGGAGGAGGAATGATGATGAATGAAGATGAGGGAGGGAGGGAGGGAGGGAGGGAGGGAGGGGGTGATGTAAGGAGAGATGCTCAGGTTAGAGATGGAGGGGTGTGAAGGGTTCAGGTTGAGGTCGGTAACCTCTGGGTTTTAAATTAGAGCTTGAAGGGAAGGGTACGTCAGCCGAATCTCCTCCCCCTCCAGGAGTTTCCTGTGGAACGGAGACAATGTATCAAGCTGATGTTCAGAAAGCGAGTGTGGAAGTCCAGCAAGGCATTTCTCACCTGTACGCTGCTATTTCAATGTCCAGGGCCATCTTGACGTTGAGAAGGTCTTGGTACTCTCTCAGGTAGTGAGCCATCTCCTGTTTGGCTTCAGTGATGTCCTGCTCCAGCTCACCTATCCGCATCTACAAAGCAACAAACACAATCATACAACTGATTAAAAAAGTGAAAAGAAATCCTACACAGATGTCCAACATAGGCTCGGAACATCAACGCAGAACCAACAGATTCTACAAAGACATTCCCCATTCACCTGGTACTTCTCCACCTCTTTAGCCTGTGTGTCCTCTAGATCCTCCAGCTGTTTATTTAGAGAGTTGATGACATTTTGGAGAGCCTCGATCTCCGAGGAGCGGGACTGAAGCAGCCTGCGGTACTCCATGGTCTCTTCTCGGATGGCGTGCACAGCTTCGTTGTTTTTGCTGGCCATCTCTGCCACACTTGCAAACTTGCTCTTGCACCAGTCCTCAGCAGCCTGCATGTTCTTGTTGGCTAGCCGCTCATATTGTGCCCGGATGTCTCGAAGGGCGGTGGAGAGATCAGGTCTGGACAACTCCACATCCACTGTAATGTTAGATACCTGCAGCTGGGCCTGAAGCTCTGCTTGCTCTTCTGCAAAGACTTTCTTCAGGAACATAATTTCATCACACAGAGACACCACCGTGGCCTCAGCATCACAGTTGTAAAGCACGACTCTGCTCGCCTCCTCTCTGGCCCTCTGCAGGGCCTCCTCAGCATCTATACGCTGCCTTGCCTCCTCCTCGCATCGCTCCTTCATCTGCTCGCACACGTCCTGCAGGTAGTCTCTCTCTGCCTCCATCTTCATCTTCTCATTGTTCTCTGAGTCGATCAGGGCCTTCAGACTCCGAGCCTCCCCCTCATAGAGTGCCTGAAGATGGGATGGATCATTCTGACGTCGTCTCAATGCGTCCAGCTCAGCCAGCAGGGCTCGGTTCTGCAGCTCCAGGTGCCTCACCTTCTCGATGTAGGTGGCAAAGCGGTCATTCAGGTCCACAAGCTGAGCCCTCTCCTGGGATCGCACTTCCAGCAGCTCCGTGTTGATGGAGCTGGCCTGGGTCAGGTCCATCCTCTGGGAGCCATCTGGAAGGGAAGAGGAGGTCATCTTCAGGATCCGTTTTCCAGACTGAAGCCGAGGAGAAGAGTACAGAGAGGAAGACATGGAGGATTTAGTGGATCGAGAGTTTTTGTCCCAAGGACGTCGGTAGGAGAAGAAGGATTCGTAGCTCATGATGAGTTTTTGTTGCTGTGAGTTTTTTTGTTTAAGAAAAAAAATTTGCGATTCGATTCAGAATCTTTTTTTATGTCCCCCTTGTTCTGCACACCATCGGTGAGGATGAGAGAGCGCTTTTGCACTGCACCAGTCAGTGATGCTGCAGATCTGGAGCTTTTATAGAGAGAGCGCTGCTCCCCCCTCCACCACGTAGAAACATCCGTGCTGTCAGCATTCATCAGGCCAATCACGGGCCTCCGCAGTGAGGAGAGAGGAGGCTATTTTCAGGCTCTCTCTCTCAGTGCAGTAGAGCAGATCTTTAAGCCTCATTTCTATTTTATTCTCTTAATTTGCTTTTTGTTTTTGTGTTTTCTTTTCATCTCTGCTGAAGGTGGAAATCTCTGGTGAGGTGAAGACTGATCTTCAGCACTTGGCTCACTGTGCTGGCCTCTGAATGAGGACCAGTGAAGATAAGAGATTTTAGACATGGTTTTTTATATCGCTGAGACATCCAGTGTTTGTCCTGACACATTATTTTAAGATTAATTATCAAATCTTTTGTATTGTTTGCATGTTTTCTTGTTGAAAACCTTGTTAGCAGCTGTGTCCTTCACTCTCTCAATTACCTTTTGCTCCCGTATCTTTTTGGTCTAATTGGATTGTCAGCTGATGAGTCATTGATGTTCTCCAGCTGTCCTGACTTGGGCTACGTGTGGGAGGAACTCCTGATGGAGACCTCTGTATCTGCTGATGTGCTGAAACTGCCTGACTGTTCAGCATCCAGGAGGCCACTGAAAAACCCTCTTTAAAATCTTCTTTCTGATCATAATCAGTCACTCTGAGTTTTTCATGCAGGCTGAACATGAAAACAGTCTCCTACGCCTGTTTCCTGCATTAGCTTCTGATAGAAAACAGACGGTGAAACTCTAGGATTAGAAAAGCCTGACAGATCTACGTCACACTGTCAATAACATTCATGGACTCACCCCATTTGACACTCAACAGGGAAGGCTGTTGCTGGCTTAGTGTCCAAGAAACAGCAGAGAATGTCTAGGTAGTAGATGCTAATGTTAGCATTAGCAACTCCACCACATGGCAGAACTCTTCCAGGCTTGTGTGTTTTGTGGAGATAAAACATCAACGTTGCAAATAAGTGGTAGAGCTGGGTTGCTGTTATCCAATCCAAGGCAAGATGACCAAATAAATCAGACTTCAAAATCTGCCGCCCGACACTCAGCTGTGATGTAGTTTCTCGGGAAAATTAACAGTGATAGGAATTCTGGCCCCTTTAGGAGAGCAGGGTCGTATGGCTCATCTATTTTGGTTTCTCTTATAATTTGTTGCTTAAAGTGTTACCAATAATGATGTCACAATGTGTAAAATGAATTAATGATACATGAAACGTACATGATGTCGCATATCTGGTATTTATAAGGCATATGGAGTGTCACAAGCAATAACAAATACCATCTTAACTCTCTCTCCCTCCCAGTGTGTGTTTTAGGATTCTATCATTACATTTAAACCAAACTGTAAGTTACTGAATAAAAAACTTTCAGCTTCTTGTTCCACACTGGTTCCAGCAGAATGTTGCAGCATGTAGTTGTGCAGGGATGAACTCCATTCTCCATCCTTAAAGAGCAAGTCACCCCCAAATAAACTTTTTTTTGCTGATAAACTAAATAAACGAGTGTCTAATTGTGCTGCAGACACGCATGAGCCACCGCATCCTCAGGACCTTCTATCGCTGTGCCATTGAGAGCATCCTCACTGGATGCATCTCCACCTGGTATGGCAACAGCACCGCTTACAACCGCAAAGCTCTCCAGAGAGTTGTGCGGTGTGCAGAAAGGATTATTGGAGGTGAGCTTCCCTCCCTCCAGGACATCTACAGGAAGCGGTGCCTGAGGAAAGCGGGGAGGATCATCAAGGACTCAAGTCACCCCAGCCATAAACTGTTCAGACTACTTCCATCAGGAAGGAGGTTCTGCAGCACCCGGTCCAGAACCAGCAGACTGAGAGACAGCTTTTTCCATCAGGCCATCAGACTGCTGAACACTTCACAGACACCTCACCCTCACTACTGAAACTCCAACATTACACACTCCTTACTGTTCATTAATGCCACAGTTTTGCACATACCAACCTCTGTATATTTTATATCTCTTATCTTATGGTTTACTTTATTCATTTGTAAAATATGTATATACACACTATTTACACACTCACACACACACGTAGAAAAAAATAAAATAAAATAAAATACTAGCACACACATTCAGTAATGTATATACCTTACATACTGTACATATTATTACTTAGATTAGCCATTTTTTATATTTTGCTTGTTTTTACGTTACTGTATTTTTGCACAACTCTGTTGCTGTGAAGCTCGCACACAAGAATTTCACTCGCATGTACTGTACCAGTGTACCTGCACATGTGACGTGACAATAAAAGTGATTTGATTTGATTTGATTTGATTTGTAGTCAATAATTTGGCACTTCAGTACATCTTAGTAAAAATTTAAATATTCTGCCTAAAACTGGCAGTGTTGTGCCGTCGTCAGGTAAAAACTCTGCACTGTATTTTAATTTAAATCTGCCACTGCTATTGGCTAAGAGGTATGCTATGATGTAAACTGGTACATTATGATGTCACAATGCTGTCGTGAGCCTGTGTGTGTGTGTATTTGTTAGCAGCTCCGCCTTCTCGGTCTGCCAGGCAACAGCATTTGTTGCATTTTTCAAACATGAAGTGGGAGTGGAGTTAGAATCTAGCAGGGATTGACTTGCGCTTTAACTCCTCCGGCAGCAGATTCCCTCACTCCCAGGATCTTTTCACCTCTCTCCCCTGCACGGAGCTACATGTCGCTGGACACAAAATCGAGACTCAAAAACTAATTATACCCGTGTTGAACAAGCATAAAAATTATAATGTACATTTTTTATGAACAGGCTTTAACCCCTAATCCTACAGTGAATGTTTGTGTTTACATGTGTTTATTTATTATTAATGTCTTCAGTAATTACTTTTGGTGTTTTGGGACGGTTTAATTAGTCCATGAGCCAAAGGGAGAACAGACAAATATCCTGTGGGTGGAATATACTTGTCCTAATAATCAATCAATGTGATCTTTAGAAGTAACAGATTACTTTAGAAGTAATCTATTATATGAAGCATGTTTTCCCTCTCCTTTTAACCAGCAGTTCAACCTCTTGGCAGAAACATTTTTGTCCCTTTAATTTAAAAAAAAATCTGCAAAACTGAGTAAAGCATAAACGATGTTTGCATAAAAATTTTGCGCTATTACCTTTTAATATTTGTATTATTGTTGTAGTAGTATTAGTAGTAGAGGTATTTAACATGTTCAAAGGTTTCATGGTTTAATGTTCGTTTTAAAAATGCTTAAATGAGTTTTCATTGTTTAACAACAGTTTAACGTTAAAATGTTAAACTGCTGCAGATGGAGGTTTTGGACGCTAGGGAGCGCAACTGTCCATGTTTTCAGAAGGTGTGTTTGAGCAGCCTTTGCAAAGTGAACAGAGTAGTCGAACTAAAATGTAAATGATGTGTTTATTCATAAGCCATTTACAGTGGATTTATTCTCCAGTGGTACATACAGTCAAAACAAGTACATAAACAACGGTTTGTTTGGAATGTCAGGTTTCATCTCTATAGGTGTTACAAGAACAGCAGGTGCACAAGGGTAAGTCAGTTTTGAACTGAAACGAGCAGCAAGTCAGATCCGCTTTAGGCAGATCACACAAAACCAGGACATCCAACATAAAACCAGAAATACCTCCAGGTTAAGATTCTATATAAAAGAGTTCTCCTTTGGTACAAAACATCTCAGCAGTGCTGCGCGTGAAGGGAGGTTTGCGTCAGTCAGCCTCCCCATCAGGGCACATCCATCAGAGGGGACACCCATCAGGGGACACATGGGGAATAAACATTCGCCCCAGTGCTGCATGATGAGCTGACATGCTCTGGCACAAACAGCATGAAGGTGGCATTCGCGGGTCATCTGGACAAAACTTTGGCTCGAGTGCTGCGTCTGTGTAAACTGCGCTCAGGACGGAAGCGTTGCGGATGCATCTGACATCATGTCCGACCCCAGACCCGGTCGCTTCAGTGCAACTTCTTTTTGTTTTTTCATTGTTGTTGGGGCTCAGAAGAGCTCAGAAGAGTTTCAGCCTCTTGCCGAAGGCCCGGCCCCCCCTGGCTACTCTCTGGTTTGGCTGCTCTTTGGACAACGGGCAGTACTTGATGGTGTGCGCGTTGTCTCCGTTGGCGGTGCACAGGGGGCAGGTGTAGGCCCGGAGGATGGGGCACAGGACTCTCCCGTCCACCGCCTTTAGGATGTGGGTACCGTAAACTTCCTCCGGCGCACCGTTATTCCGACAGAACACGCATACCTTCGGCTCCGGCTTGCTCCTCTGGCTCTGTTTGCGTCGTCGGTCTATTGAGAACACGTCGAAGCCGGCGAAGCTGCCCCCGTATGGAGGAGAGTCTCTCCCTCCCAGCTGAGCCTCGGCTGCGACGTGCTCGTACGGCCGGAGCAGAGAGATGCTCTCCTTCAGTTCGTAGACGGAGAGCGGCGGCGAGCCCGGGGCTGCGCAGCAGCAGTCCAGGTGTCCTTCAGTGTCTCTGCCGTGCGCAATAACGCAGGAGCAGACGGAGGACTCGTCCTCTAAACCCAGTGTCGCTTTTAAAGACTCCGTGATGGAGTTGGGGTTACAGTACGGGCTGCTCATCTTGTTTTTGGCGACAAGAGTTGATAAACCTAGGTAGTCGTTCCAAAAGTTAAAGGTGTAATCATAAGGAGCGCGCATGTCCAGGTAGTCCATGCTGCTGCTGCTGTAGCGTCCACAGGCGAGAGAAGGTGTTCCGGGCCGGGTCTTTGTTGGCATTTAAAGTTCTTGTCTCCTCTCTAGCTCAGTCTGATCGCAGAGCTCTGGGTTCAGGCGCTGATAAGTCCTCTGAATCAAACAGGGGGCGTGGTCTGGTTTTCCAGAAGCAGGGTCCACAAAAACAGCAGGAGCCTCCCTCTCCAGGAAGAAAGAACCTCTGCTGTTATGTAACGAGCTTGCTTTTTGTTTGTTGTTCTTGTTTCAAGAATCCGCATCAACTCTTGGTTGACTCAAACACTGAACTTTAACCCCCTGGTGGTCACCACGATGGAGGCTGGTGTTTGAGTTAGCTCCTCAGAAAGCATCAAAGCTGCTGATGGGGAATGAAAAAGGCTTAACAGAGACAATCATTTGGATTTTTTAAATCGTTAATGCTCTCAATGTAGAGCTAGACAGCAATATTCACATCAAAACCAATCAGAGGACAGATGTTTAAACTGTCATAAACAGAGTCACTAACTAAGGATGGAGCCTGTCTTTGTTTTAAATATTCTCATTAAATGAACAATCACCCACTGGTTCATCATCACCAGTTCATCACTGGTTCATCATCACCAGTTCATCACCAGTGGTTCATCATCACCAGTTCATCACCAGTGGTTCATCATCACCTGTTCATCATCACCAGTTCATCTCTGGTTCATCATCACCAGTTCATCACCACCGGTTCATCACTGGTTCATCATCACTGGTTCATCATCACCGGTTCATCACCAGCGGTTCATCATCACCAGTTCATCACCACATCAGTTCATCATCACTGGTTCATCATCACCAGTTCATCACCACATCAGTTCATCATCACTGGTTCATCATCGCTAGTTCTTCATCACTGGTTCATCATCACTGGTTCATCATCACCAGTTCATCACCACATCAGTTCATCATCACTGGTTCATCATCGCTAGTTCTTCATCACTGGTTCGTCATCACCAGTTCATCATTGGTTCCTCATTACCAGTTCATCACCACATCAGTTCATCATCACTGGTGACTGTTTCATCATCACCAGTTCATCATTGGTTCCTCATTACCAGTTCATCACCACATCAGTTCATCATCACTGGTTCATCATCGCTAGTTCTTCATCACTGGTTCATAATCACCAGTTCATCATCACCAGTTCATCACTGGTTCTTCATCACCAGTTCATTACTGGTTCATCATCGCTGGTTCATAATCACTGGTTCACCATCACCAGTTCATCATCACTGGTTTATCACTACCAGTTCATCATCACTGGTTTATCACCACCAGTTCAACATCACCAGTTCATCACTGGTTCTTCATCACCAGTTCATCATCTCTAGTTCTTCATCACTGGTCCATCATCACCCGTTCATTGTAGCGTCATGAATGGCCTCTAATTTGTGACAAAGGTCACATTTTCCCAGCTGGGTCAAGCTGGGTCGACTGTAACTTTGCCCACAGATTAACCCACCAGGAGCCGTGATGTCTGCTGAAACCATCTTTATCTGCTGCTGTTCCGTCCCAGGCTGAAGGACACTTCAAAATCACAATAATAGTTTTAAATAATAATTTTAATAAACTTTTGACTTTATTACTTTTATTACAATCATCATAATCTCTTGGTTCAGTAAATGTATTTTAATTACTGAAATGAATTATTATGCTTTGGGTATAATAATGATTATTGTGATAATCAGTTATGTGTGTTCAGTAAACCAGGCAGGTCATCCTCCATTTTATCCATCCAATGCAGAGGGCTTATCCAGGGTAAAAGTTAAACTGCCATCACATGTGTTTTACTCATGACCAAGCTTGCAGAGGGCTTATCCAGGGTAAAAGTTAAACTGCCATCACATGTGTTTTACTCATGACCAAGCTTTCTGAGGCTGAGAGTGGGCGAGTTCTGAGGGTTTTGTTAAAACTAAATTTCCAGCAGCAAAAGATCAGTTCTTGAACCATACGAGGAGACGAGGGAACGGCCGCCCGAATCTCCATCTGCTGTTCTGTCACGCCAATAGAATAACTTCAAATAAACGCACCTGTAACCAGCTGACGGAAAACTCCTTCAGAGTTATTGATTTTGAGAAGTAAGATGCAAAACTCCTTCAGAGTTAAGCCAGACGCTCAACACTGTGTACCGTGCGACATCTTTGGACCAGAGAGTCGGTTTTACTCGAGTCTTCGCTACCGGACCGGGTACCCTGAGGCTGACAACATCCTCCCTTGACCTCCGGATCTGCACAAGGGTCATCTGAATGGGTGAGGTACCACACAGATTGTGTCTGATGCTGTTCTCTCTAAGTAACAACCGAGTTAGCTACAAAACAAGCATTCACCCGGAACGAGTTCCTCTCTCTGAAAGAAACCTTCTGAGAATCCATTCACGCATCCAAGCTCTCATTTCATTTTAGCTTTCCATCCAGACACAGGTAAAGCTTTTGATACCAAGTTTAATATCAAAGCTAGTAAATTGTCATTAAAATGGTCATCGAATTGTCATTTTTAATTGTCGTTTCAAATTGTCAAGTTGAAAATTGTTAGTGATAAATTCCTAACTTGTAAACTCTGCCTCATCTTTGAAATGAAACACAGAATGGTGTGTATTTCTGGTTATTGATAAAGCAAAGATTCCTTTA